GATTTGCGGTTAAGATAGGGATATACCTAATCGCCTTGCTTAGTTATTATACAGAAATTATTAATGCGTTCTTGTTAATCCTAATTTCATAGAAATATAGGCGTTAGGTTAGCTTGAATAGGCGAGTAGTACTTCAAGAGAATACTACGAGTAATATTAACTCGGTCAACTAATAAATCAGATAAATTAATTAGACAATTTAAGTGGTAGACTCAACGGGATTGTTAGCTAACCCATAGCTCTAGAATATTTTCTCCCATTGAATTTGTCTCTAAGATCCTAAAATTGCTTTCTTTAATTTCTTAGTTTACTACTCTAGATTAGTTTTTGTTAAATAATCACATATTAAAAATCACTTGAATAGATTAATCGTCTTAGTTTAATTTAGTTAATAGTTAATCACAAGTCCATATGGGTACGATATATGGACTTACAATCCTATATTACTTATACGACAACGTATACTTGCGTGTGCGTTTGGGAGCAACAAGTTTTTGCTGCTCATATATATATATTTAAAGTCTTGATTTCAAAATGCTCTTATTGTTGATAACCTATCATGATCCTTGAAAGTGAAAGAATGGGAGTATGTAATATAAAATGTGGCCATCGTACTAAGAACGAAGAATTACATTTGTGGCCAAGAGTGCCGATGAAATAAAAGGATGTGTGAAAGTCTATGAAATGAAATGTAACTCTTTTATATGAGATAAATGTTCTTGGGAGGATCGTTAGGTAACCGAGGAAGGGTGGGTTGAAATAACCTAAATCTGAAACTAGACGTGCTGGCGTAGGATAGATGGAGGGATGAATTCCCGTGTTGATGTGTTGAGATTATTCCCCTTAATTGGGATGAGATGATAGCTAGAAAAGGACCATTTCGACCCACACGACATTGTGGTGAGACGAATTAGCCGATCGGGCGGTAATCAGATACCATGCCGTGCACATAGTGGTGGTGATGTGTTTCTATGTCCACCCGCGCACACTGGGGTGAGACGGATTTGCCGATTGGGCAGAGATCGGTCCCCATGCCAATAGCATGGTGGTGTATCGGTACCGTAGACCTCCCAACTCTAATACATTATTATTTACTTGTGGATTTACCTTGCTCTTAACTTGTCATTTTAATGTTACTTGACTTTCTTATTGATTCTATGTTTCTCTCTTTTATATTGGTTTTATATTACATGAGAGGGTATTTAATTTTACATACTAGTACTATTCCATATTTACTAACGTCCCTTTTGCCAGGGACGATGTATCTTTAATAGATGCAAGTGGTTCTACAGCAGGCGGCATCGATTATTGATAGCGGTACACTTTTTTCTCAGTTGACTTGGTGATCCCCACTTCCTATCGAGGCCTCGTGTATTTTACATTGTATTGTTGAGGTATAGTCGGGGTCTTGTCACCAACACTATCATACTACTCTTCTGTTCTATTTAAAGGCTCCGTAGACATAGTGTGGGTTGTGTTTTAACTTGGAAAAATGACTCTAAATGTTGTAGTTATTTGGTGTTCCACTTTGTAATCTTTTGGTAATCATCAATGCAGTTGTTGTAATTAATGAAGCATGATACTTAGCTCTCATATCCCCTCCCTGTCTATCTCGTATAATTTAAGTAAAATTGCTCATGGGTAATGTTGGGTAGAAGGCATCAAGTAGGCTTGCTTGATCGGGATGTCTCGATCGAGCGTCGGTCGCGCTCCCCGAGGTCGGGACGTGATATCCAACCATATTCATATAATTTTTCAGCTTTATATCCATCATAAAAACAACATCAGACAGCCCAACAATTCTCAAGAACATCACAAACAACTTTCAATTGCTATCTTGCCACATCTCAACTAAACAACTTAGTTAGGACTTAAATATGATCAAACACATGTAGGAGAAAAGGATATTACCTTTAAACAGCAAGAAAACACTCCAAGAACAACTCTCCTTCAACTTGAACGAACTCACAACTATTCAACCACATTATATATAAGTGATCTCCACCACTTCCACAATACTTTTAATGAAGAACTTAGGTGGTTTGGCCTTGGATTTGTGTATGAACCTTTAGGATATGCTTAGAGAGCGTTTAGAGGTTCTTGGAGGTCTAGTTTGGTCTAAAATGAGAATTGGGGAACAAGTCCACCATTTTATATAACAAGATAGGCTTTCACCGATTTTGTGGGTCCCAAAGGGAGTTGCTTGTGCAGTCTCGCAAAAAAGTGAATAGCTCTATACTCCGATGTTGCATAGACGAACAATTTAATGCGTTGGAAACTAGACTCGTAGACTTAAATTTGGTGGGTGGATAACCCGTAAGTCCAAGTATATTGGGAGAAAAGCTCGATAACAATAAAACCAAATTCCAGTAAAATTATGAACGTAACTGGTAACAACCTTTGCCGACTTTTGTTTTACAACTTGTTTGACTTCAAAACATAACATACGGATATTATATAATTCAATTACCTTAAAACACAACTTTCTTAGAATATTAAGCACTCCTAGTTTTACCTCAAAATTACGGGTTATAACATCTTTGATTTTTTTAGCCTCTAACCCTCACGATACTTCCTTAACACTTATTTTAGCTCATCATTATCTTTGTAAAGGTCCTTAAACTCTCCAGCTCATATTGATTCACTTAAGACGCATTCTAACATGAAAGTACATGGTGTAACAATATCAATCCCAAACGGCGGATCGCATCTGTCATACTAAATTGTGAAAATACAAAATTCTCATAATCACCTCTGAATCACAAGCAGGATAAACACCTCATCAACAAAGAACCTTCCATTTAACTCAATCTAGGAGGACATCACCACATGCAACAAACCTTCTATACCCATAGAAAACATCAACCTCAAGCCGTAGTCAAAACTGTCATGAATTCTTCGAAACCCATTCGCACATAACCAAGACAATAGAATTAAATCCCTCTAAATCAACCGAGTCACGTAGACTACTAAAACCAAGAGTAGCTCAACATGAAAATGCTTGCGCTGAAGAACCCTTTAATGAATCTGAAGTTGTTTCTTTCAACTTTTTAATACCGCAATGTAGAATTAATAATTATATAGAAATACCGCAAGTCCCGGGAGCTTCCAATGCAAGACTCAAGTCCTATCCATACACAAATTCGAAAATCCTTAAATATCACATATGGTCCTGAGGCTATTGGAACCTTCTCGAAAGTCATTCACCTTGCTCTAATCCCCAATGCGCAACCAATACACACCGAACAACCCGTACTCCACCAACACATGAAAATCCAAAAAAAGAAATCAAGCGATTCCTTTTCCTTGCACACAACATCCACAACGAGTATCAAACCTGAATCATCCAAACACCTCTATATACCCATAAGATGTAGCACATCATGCATCCAACCGATCCCTTGCTCGAAATCATCCTCGGTGAAATCTTTCTCAAATCATAGCTAATCCACGAGTACATCCTAGTCCAGGAACTATAACAACACAAGCCCATATGACCTAATCATTGATAATAAACTCCCCCACTTAGCTCGAAGCTACAAAATACATCATCTGATAACCTACAATATCCTTACTTCTTAACTTGCCATGGACTAACGTTCTTATCAAGCTGCATCTCCTCATAACCTCACATAGCACTAGTCAAAATACACTCCAATCATTTGCCGAGTGTAGACATGTAATTTTTGACCCTCCCTGAAATTTTATACATTGTAGTATTTAAATATTTATTTTAGGACTAATACTGCTATTTTCACTAGTTTTAACCTTTATTAATTTATTTCATCTTAAAAATGAAAACTACAAAAATATTTTTTTCTTTTATTCAAGTTACTTGGTATTTTGTCAAGTTATTTTCTGATTTATTCTACTTTTGATAAAATCAAAAATGATAAAAGGAAGTCACATGAATTTAGAATACTGAGTTTTTCTTAACTTTGTTTTGTTAATATTTTAATACTTATAAAAAGAAAAGGTAAAATATTTTCTTTAGTCCATATGTTAGAATACAAAATATTAGTTAAATTTTCTTTAGTTTATATCTCTTGTTTTAATTATTTTTTACTTTTAATAGCTAGAATTAAAGAAAGAAAAGAAGGAGCAAATGAAATTATGCCACCTCACCACAAGTGGACAAAGTTTCATAACAATTCACATGGCACACAATTTGATCACGTTGCACTTTCTTTTTTTCTTTAATCCACAATTCCAACTTACACAATATTACCGAAGCACACACGCACAATATGACGGGGGCATCTTTAATTGGGGTCCACACGGTTTTTGGGATTTCTTTCTCCCCAAGCACAATTATAGCCTATTTGGCCAAGCTGAAAAAATCAGTTTATTTTGAAAAGTGCTTTTCGAAAAAATATTTTTAGTGAAAAGCAATTTGTATTTGGCTAATCAATTTAAAAAACACATTTGAACAATAGTTTATATTTGGCCAAGCTTGTCGAAAAGTGCTTTTAAGTGTCAAATTATAAATAAGGACATGAAAAGATTTGCTTAATATTTAATATTATATAAGTAGATAAATAATTATAAATATTTATTATTAAAGATAATAATTAAGTTTTTTATTTTATTTAAGTAAAATATAAAAATAAAATTAAAAAGTACTTTATTCTTTCAAGATAATTTAAATATATCAAAAAATTATTCAATAAATATAAAAGTTCATCCCAAAAGTTATTTTATATTACTTAATAGTTTAAACTAAGTAAGGTTATTTTGGTATATATAATATTTTGCAAAGGGTATTTTTGGTAGGAAGAAAAATCAAAACTGTTTCTGCTTCTGCTTCTCGGAAGAAGCTACTTTTTTCTGCTTCTTCAAAACTGCTTCTGTTTCTAGCCAAAAGCACTTTTTTCTCAAAAAAAAGCTTGGCCAAACACCTCAAATTGAGAAAAAAAGTATTTTTTTGAAGAAAAAAAAATACTTCTGGCTTGGGGAGAAGCTTGGCCAAATAGGCTATTAGTAAGAGATAGACATAGAGAATTTAGAGGGACATTAGGGGGAGAGGAACGAAACAGATAGAGAAAACAAAACAGAGGAAAGGGGGAGACGGACAGAGAGTCCAAAAAACAGAGAAAAAAACCAGTCACCTTCCTCCATTGCTCTCGTTATTCTCCCACCATTAAAGCACCACCACTATTCAACCATGTTTGAACCATAACTTAACAAAAGCTCCTCCCGTGAAATTTTCTTTACTTCAACACCACCCTTTCTGTCTTTAAAGCTCCACCATCATCGTCCTTTATCATCTTCTTTGCCAAAAGCTCTCAATAAATTACAAATCGAAAATGGATTAAACATTAAGGATAAGTTTCGGGCTAGATCTAAACTCCGATCGAAGTTGCCGTCAGGGGGTGGGTATTGTTCGAGTGTTATGGTCTGATGTTCCAATCCAGATTTGAAACACAACCGATGTGCTATTGTTGGATTGAACAAATTTGCTGCTTGCAAGGAGATCTTTCATCAATTCAATTTTAATTACTGTTTGGATTCCACTTGAGGTCAACTCCTTACTTTGTTCTTTACTTAATCTATATTTTTCTCATATGTGTGATTTATGATTGCTTGAGCTTCATGCTTTTATTGTTACTTTGTGACTGATTTTTCATGTTTTATTTCAAGTCTGTTGAGTTGAATTTTTAAGTTTAAACATTGTTAAATTCTTGTCTTGTAGATATGTGTTGATGCGGAAAAAAGAAAAAAATAATTTTAATGAACTGTGGGATTTGATAGAAGGATTCGGGCTTAAACGTAAATGAAAATTTGGATTTGAAATGTTTTTATTACTTTTATTTATTTCTTATCGCTAGTAGCATGCTTAGACCGACCACACATGGGTAGGCAATATAAGGACGTTTTATTATTTTTAGTTTTTGAGGTGAGAGATTGTCCCCTTAGTTACTATGATTTTGTCAGGGGAATGCCCTGAAGTATTTGTAAATATTTATCAGGGATATGCCCCATATTTGGAGGCCGTGACGAACCTCGTGGAAGAAGTATAGTGTATGTTAGTATTTAGGACTTTAATTTTCTTTTCTTTTTCTATTTTTTATTTTCTTTTATTAGGTGGGGATGACCTTGAACCTCTTTTGCATTTATTTTTCTTTTGTGTCTTTTTACCTCAACTCGAGTATTCTTTTAAGCCGATTAGATCATGTATACAACTGTGACCTTCACGTGACTTGGAAAATTCCTAACACCTTCTCCCCGAGTGAAATGAACCCCATTTCTCGGAATTTCTGGTGCGGACTATTTTTAGAGTCAAAACATGTTTTAAAAGGAAAAATTATTTTTTTGTTAAAACGATGAATTGACACACCGAAACCAAATGTCAAGTGGCGACTCTGAAAATACTTTGAAACACAAACTTTGTCACTTTCAGTTTGAAAACCCTTTTGAGCTTTAAAAATCACATTATTCTTTTTAAAGAGGGTTAAGATGAAAATGGGGTGTGACACCGAGTGCATACTCATCCTCATGACTGTCAAACCAACTTCCTCAAGTGCTCCGAGAGGGTAGTATATTTGTTTCGCTAAATAGAAGGAAAACTCTTCATAGAAACCTCCTAAGGATCACATAACCTCACACCTTCTCAAGGGAGATAACCCACCTACTACCCTCGAATCGACATCTTCCCATGACCTACCATGGTTACAACAACTAGGAAACCAATTAATCCTTCTGAGTCTACACTCGTCAACAAGTTATAAGAATCAATTCATTCCTCAAATGAACAACTGAAAGTTCTAATGCCACACCCACTTCTCAAAATTATACAACATATTGAGACGATGATAAAGTATCCATAGTTTTTTCGCATCCCATCCGCAAAATCACAAGTCATCAGTGCAAAACTGATACCAAGTACTCAATATCGCACACGAATCGAACAGAAAGAATCTGGAGATTTAGGCTTCAAGCTGAAACAAGGTCGCACGATAAGGAAAGAAAGAAGTGAAATCTTCCTAGATGCCTTGTAGCCGCTAGAAGATAAGTGTGGACGTCATCATACCAATCCGTAAGAGTCTACTAGCCACTTGCTCATGACTCGTAGAACCTATGAACCTAGTGCTCTGATACCAACTTGTCGCGATCCAAAATCCACAAAGTCGTGATGGAACCTAACCCCAACATGCTAGGTAAGAAAAAGATATAATATTGTAACTCAAATGAAAGATAATTATTAACAAGGATTGATAGATTAATTCCATACAGCATCCCAAAGATTGGTAGTATAAGTTATATGCCACTAAGATTTAGATTTAAAAAGTTGGTGCAAAAAATAAGCACAACATCTATTTGAATGTACATAAAAAGGATTGCAAATCCTAAACTACCAAGAACAAGTGATAGCTTATCTCTGGAATGCAGGTACATCTTCAAAGCCAACCTTCGTCATACACAACATATTAGCTCTCAAATATGCACGCAAGGTGCAGAAGTGTAGTATGAGTACAACCGATCCATGTACTTAGTAAGTATCCTGACTAACCTCGATGAGGTAGAGACGAGGTTCAGAACAAGGAGACTCACTATACATAACATGTACATCTCAATAACATATAAATATGCCCAACAAAAGTATCAAACTCTAAGCATAAAATCCGGGTACAACTAATCAGGGCACATAGAGAAGATATGCGTAAGTCTTATAAAAGTTAAATATATAGGGAAGATATACATCTAACATCATTAAATAATCTAAGCTTGCATATAAAGAAGATATGCATGAAATATCAAATATTCCATCAACAGTTGCATATAGAGAAGATATGCGTGGAATATCAGGTAATCCATCAACAGTTGCATATAGAGAAGATATTCTTGGAATATCAGGTAATCCATCAACAGTTGCATATAGAGAAGATATGCATGGAATATCAGGTAATCCATCAATAGTTGCATATAGAGATGATATGCATATTTAAACAAGTCCAGTTACACGGATCCACATATAGAGAAGATATGTACCGTGATTTATCTCATCAAGCAAAGCAGCATATAGAGAGGATATGCAATGAAAATCATGTATACATCAAAGGAGTTTGCAAAAAGAGAAGAGACAGTCCAACTAATGATCAATTTTACCAAGATCCATATCAACCAGAAACCCGTCTATTTCTCACAACATGTGTGTACGCCATCAAGAGGGAAATATGAGAGTGTAACCCTAGGGAATAAATCCTTATCCATACACTGTATGGACTACTCACGTGCCATCACTGCATGGACAACTCACGTGCCATAGATTAAAACAACCGCACGGACAACCTACGTGCCATAATAACTTAACCTGCATGGACCACTCACGTACTGCCAATCTAGTCCATCACAAAAAAAGCATATACAAGAACACATGTATACGACATATCCAATAACATACTCATGGACTGAGGAAAATAGTATATTATGGTGTATTCATGTGCGAAGTGTGCAACTACGGCTCAAATTAGGCGGATACGCCATACAATATCAAAAATCATGAACAAACAGGGAATTAATACTTTTACATGATCTCTAGCATGATTCACAGAGTTCACGTAGTCATACAAACACATAAAGCATGATAGCAAGAATCACAATATCCAAATCAAGGCATAGTAGCGCCTAAAGACTACTCTGGTAATGAATCGTACATAGCACCCGTATATACACTCATCACCTTGCATATACGTAGCATCTCACACATTTAAATTAGACAAACAAGGTCAGTTCCAAAGGTTTATTCCCTCATCAATATTAGACAAGATACTTACATCAAAAAAGCCAAATTAACACTCTAAAAACACCTTCCCGCGTGGATCGACCTTCGAACGGCTCAAATCTAGCCAAAAACAACTCAATAACATCAAATAGTACCATAGGAATCAAACCCCAATGATAAAGGTCGAATCTTTAATCAAATACTCAAAGTCGACCAAAACGTTAACCCGGGCCCACACCTTGAAACCCGACAAACCTCACAAATCCCGAATACCCATTCAAATATGAGTCCAAATATCTAATTGGTTTCCAAATCCAACCTCAATTTGATGTTCAAAACCCCAAAATTTATTTTCTTAAGTTCAAGTAAAAAAAAAACCCAATTTCTTCTTTTCAAATCCTTGATTTAGGTGTAATAATCCATGGAAAACAAAATATATAATCAAAAAAATGATAAAATTACTTACCCTCATGATTTGGGTGTTTATCCTCCAAAATTTCCTTACTTGTGCTCAAAGAACTCCAAAAGTGAAGAAAATAAACTCAAAATCCTAAAATTGAATATTTTAAAGCCCCATCACTCGTCCTTCTTCGCGATCGCATTCACCAAACATGTGATCACGGTTTCCAAATTCCTTATAGATTGCAAGATATAAGCTCCTGAAGTCAGCCTAGTGGCAGCAAAAATTTCTTCTGCGCGATTGTGGGAATGCACTCTGTGATCGCGTTTCACAAGTCCAAAATGGCAATTTACTCTTTGCGAACGCGGCCCTGAGCTCCACGATCGCGATGTACACTCCTGTAGCAAAAAACCAACAACTGGAAAGGGTCTAAAAAAGGTCCAAAACCACCCTGAATTACACCCGAGGCTCCCGGGGTCCCATCCATTATACTAACAAGTCCAAATACCTTATTCAGACTTATCCAAAGACTCATCATGCAACCTTCAAAACCGAGAATTAAACACCAAAACTCATTAAGCAACCTTCAAACTCAAGAACTTCAAATATTCACAACCAAACGTCTGATTCATACCAAATCAACTCAGAATAAAACCAAACTTTGCACACAACTTCCAAATGAAAAAATGGACCTATTCCAAGTCCCAGAATAATAATCCTAACCCGATAGATACAAAGTCAACACATGGTCAAACTTATGAAATTTCTAAACTTTCAAATTGCCAACTTTCGACAAAAAGAGCAAAATTATCCTAGGAACCTCCAAATACAAATTCGGATATATACCTAATTTCAAAATCACCATACGAACCAATTTTAACCATCAAAACATGAATCCATGGTCGTTTACTCACAAGTCAAACCTTGGTCAACTCTTAAAATTTAAAGCTTCTAAATTGAGAATTACTCTTCTGAATCAATCCCATACTTCCCCAAAAGCAGAACAACAATGCACGTAAGTCGTATTATATCATATGAAGTTATTCACGACCTTAAATCGCTAAACAGAATATTAATGCTCAAAACTACCGGTCGAATCGTTACACTCAATATGCCAAAATCTTACAGTACCATAATTAAAATACATAAATATACCGTCATACCACATCTCAGTTCAAACCAGTGTCACACACGCAAGGACAATATCAATATGTGATATAACATATAAATAGTCCACAGAGACAGAAATATGACAAATGAATATAATATCATGACTGAAACATATGACTACGTCTGTAACGACCCGACATGTCATTTTACTTTCTACATCCTCATTCCCCTATTTAAGACTTTTTGTATGTGCTATTACATTTTTATGACTGCCGGGGGGTAATTGGTTTGGTTTTGGAAGGATTCGGGTTGAATTTGGAACACTTAATTCCTTAAAAGTGGCCTAAGGTGGCCAAGTTTGACTTGAGTCAATATTTTGAGTAAACGACCTCAAAACCGGGATTTCGGTGGTTTCAATAGATTTGTATGACGATTTTGGACTTGGGCGTGTGTTCGGATCGAGTTTTGGATGATCCGGGAGCGTTTCAGCGCTTAATATTGAAAGTTGGCACCTTGAAGGTCTTAGAATTTCCTAAATTTAGTTTGAAATAGACTTTGGTGTTGTCGAGATCATGGAATTCTGAATCTGGGAATAGGTTCGTACGGTGATTTATGACTTGTACGCAAAATTTGGCATCATTCCGAGTTGTCTAAGTATGTTTCGTCGCGTGCGGAGCTAGTTGAAGAAGTTTGAAGTTCATAAGTTGATTAATTTGGTTGTAGGGTGTAATTCTTAGTTTCGATTTTGGTTTATGTGTTCCGAGGCTTCGAGCAGGTCTGTATTATGTTTATGAACTTGTTAGTGTATTTGGACGGGGTCCCGGATGGCTCGGGTGTATTTCGGACCACACAGAGCTAAGTCCATAATAGTAGAATTTATGTTATTAGTTTCCTTCTTTGTGAACGCGGAGGTAGTCTCGCGTTCGGCATGAAGGATTTGGGGCAGGGGTATTTTGTTCTCCGCATTCGCGATCACTGGGTCGGGTTCGCGAAGGTTTAGGACCTGTGGCCTTCGCGTTCGATAGGAGGTCCGTGATCGCGTAGAAAGGGTTGGGCCTGGGGTCAGTGGGTCGTTGCTCTTCGCGTTCGCGAAGAGCATATCGCGTTTGTGATGCTTTGGCTGTGCTCTCCATCGCGATCGCGAGGACCTGGTCGCGTTCGCAAAGAGGATTTTCTGAGCCTTGGCAATTTTGCCTCCACGATCGTGAGGCCCTTTTTACGATCGCGAAGAAGGGACCTATGGGCAGAAACTTTTAAAAGTCGTGATTAGGATTATTTTTCTCATTCTTACACTTTGCTTTGCCGATTTTAGAGATTTTGGAGAGAGAATTTTCACCTATCAATTGAAGGTAAGTGATTTCTAACTAATGTGAGTTTAATACATAGATTATGGGAAGATTTTAACATAGAAATTGTAGAAATTATGGGATTATGTTGAAAAACTTAGGGTTTGATAAAAATGGGATTAGACCACGAAAATGATTATGGAATTGTAAGGCCCCGAAAATTTTGCCAAGGAATTTAAGGGTTCGTGGTGTCGAAGTAGGCTTACGTGTTTAAGGGTTCTTGAAATTCTTCGCGACGAGCTAGCTCGCCGCGATATGGACTTTTTGGGTTGAAGAATGCATCGAGGTGTTGGTGGAAAATGTTTTGCCAAAGGGCCAATTATGCGGTCAGATTCGCGGCCGCAGATCCATTCTACGGGCCGCATAAGCGTTGCAGAGTTGAGCAAGGAGTTGTTGAATTTTGAGGGTTGTTTCGCGGTCCATTGTGCGATCGCAAACCTGTTTTGCGGTCTGCACTTCTGTCGCAGAGTTGCACGAAGAAATTTCGTTGGGCGATTCTGCGGCCGCATAAGTGGTCTGCGGTCCGCAGACCGGTCGCAGACCTGTCCAGATCATCCCAGTTTTGGGGCATCACTTTCGCGGTCCATTATGCGGACTGCATACATGTTTTGTGGTCAGTTCTGCAATCGCAGACTTGAGTTCGGAGGATCTATTTTTATATTTTCATAACTCGACCCCATTTTGATAAATAGCCTTTGGGGCTCATTTTGGGGCAATTATCTGATGATTTTAGAGAGAGGTAAAAGCATTTTAGAGGGAGAATGAGGAAACCTAACACTCTAACCATCCAATCTTGCACTAACCTTCAAGAATCAAGGAAACCAATCATTAGATTATCATCTATCCGGGTAAGACCTTATCCTAATACCTTCATGCAATTGTTATGGGTTTAATTAGGTTATGGGGGTTAGAAATAGGCCATGCATGTGACAATAGGTTGTAGTGTGTAAGTTTAATGAACTAGTTTGGGTGGTTTCTTGTTGAAATTAGTTAAGGGAGGAAGAGATTACCATTGTAGAGCTTTGTAGTCCATTTTGCATACTAAGTGTTCGACAAAATTCCTAAGAGAGTTACACCATATGAATCCTTCTAATTATTATCCAATTTTCGCTACCTTCTTATAGATTGTTATTGCTAGAAGTGTTGGGACGTTGTAGTAGCTTAAGGAAAGCTCAAACAAGGTATGTTGGCTAAACCTCTTTTTTAGAATTGAACCCTACAATGGCCTTGTAAGTCCTGTGTTGCTCATTATAAATTGATTATTCCGAACAAGCCTTGTGTCAAAAGATATATGCGTTCGAATTGTATTCCAAACGTTCTTCTTTATTGAGTTACTATTTGAAAAGGTGATTAAACATGGGCTGTGTGTTAATATGTCATGATTTGAAGCGTGATTTTAATGAAAACTAGCATGTCGAATTATGTAAGAAATCACATGTGTCTAAGACCCTTAATTTGGTTAGTTGCTCAAATGTGTATCTAAAGTCTTGAATTAAAATGCCTTGTTGTTGATAATCTATAAGGATACTTGAAAGTGAAAGAAGGGGGTTGGAGATGGATAGTGTGGCCACCGTGCCAATAATGAGAGTTATACTTGTGCCCAAACGTGGCTGTTTTAACTAATGCTATGCTTTATAAGTGTTTCCAATGTGTCTTTAGCTCTTATATATATTCATGAGTTGAAATTGTGTATTGCCCTTTTTGGGAGAATTATTTCATGATTAAATGATGTGTTACTCGTTTACGCTTCTAACTTGTGCTTTGATTGCCAACTATTTTACTTCATTTCTTGGAAAGGAATTCATTGTGTTTAAGTCTTCACTGCTAGTAACTTAAAGTTGTGATTTTCGGAATACTCTACATGTTGAAGCTTATGTTAATGATCCTTGAAGGTAAATAAAAGAAAGTGTGGAATATGAAGTACGGCCGCCGTGCCATGAATAATGAATCTTGTGAATGGCCAAAAGAGCCAAGAAAATATTGTTGTTGTGAGTGGTTGAAAATACTAATGAATGTTTATACAATGTGAAAGATGATGAGGTGAATACATTTGTAATTATACTACCTTTGTGTGCAAAAAAAAAAATTGGGAGTATCATTAGCAAACCGAGGAAGGGTGGGTCATAAGGCCCACACCCGAAACTACACGTGCCGGTGTAGGGGTGGATAGTAATGGGTTGTGATTATTTCCCTTATTTGGGATGAGATTGATATTAGATGTGAATTGGAAAGTCAACCCACACGGCATATGTGGGAAGGAGGCCTAGCTGATCGGGTGGAGATCGGACGCCATGTTGCGCACATGGTGGTACTATTCTTGGTAACACCATTTTTTCGCATCACATGTCAAACCACATTGTCTGTGGGGAGATGGCCTAGTCAATCGGGTGTGATCGGACTCCGTGCTAAAAATACGGTGGTATATCAGTGCTAATGAACTCCCAACCAAAAATATATATTATTTCGTATTTTGAAAACTGGTATGTGTTAACTGGGCATTTGGATATTGTTGATTGTGACTTGCTGTTTCTATGGTTTTCCCTTTCTTATAATGGTATTCTATTTTGAAAGTGGACATTTAGATTTACATACTAGTACTATTCCATATGTACTAACGTTCATTTTGCCAGGGCCGCTGCATCTTCAATGGATGCAGGTGATTCGTCAGCAGGTGGTTTTGACCCTCGTTAGCAGTTACTCTCTATTCAGCAGATTTTGGTGAGCCCTACTCTGTTCCGGGCTTCATGTCATTTGACGTTGTACGTTACATTTTGAGGTATAGCTGGGGCCTTGTCGCCATCACATCATACTACTCTTCTGTTGTACTTAGAGGCTCCGTAGACAGGTTGTAGGTAGTATATGATGTTGGGAATTAAACTAGTAAGTGTTGGTATTTGGGCGAACATGTTTTATCATATCAGTAAACTTGTTATATTTTGGAAATCATAAATAGATATCCTTTAGTAGTGAAAAATATTGTGGAACACTTGACTCTTCTCATGTCTATCACATGTACTGGCTCTTATATTATTAATGGGCAAGGTTGGGTAGAAGGCATCTAACAGGCTTGCTTAACCGCGGTATCTCGGTTAAGCGTCGGTCGCGCTCCCCGAGGTCAGGGCGTGACAGGAATTGAGTAGAAATTATATATTTGAATTCATAGGGTCTTGGGTAACATTTATCTACAAAACTTTCCGGAATCCAGACATGTGGGCTCGGGGGTGACTTTTAGGAACTTTCTGGTTTGAGTTGGGTAATTGCTCTAATAGATGAATTATGAACTTTTTAGCATGTATTGATTAGTTTGTAAAACTTTTGACTAGTATCGGGTTGCTCAGTGTTATTTTGAGGCTATTAGTGTGGTTTGAGGACTGAGAAGAGGACTTGGAAGTGAGGTATCTCTTGCCTTAACTTGTAAGAGGGAATTGACCATGTAGGTGTTTAATGTGTTATTTGTTAATAATTGTTGGTGCTACGTACGCACAAAGTGACGAGAGTCCGTACGTAGCTAAAAAATATGTTTATGTCCGGGCAGACTTAGGACTTTATCATGCAATACTTGTATTATTTGAACCTAACTTGCTAGTTTAATTACTTGAATTCATAATTGAAATTCGACTAGGGAATATGTTAGACCGAGCTTCGTTACTTTGAATTTTGGCGGAATATTCGATTTTTGATAGAAGATGATGCTCCTTTATATGCCTATCATGGTATTGTAAATGTATGTTCTGTAGTCCAAAGAGTTTCCTATTCCTGTGGATCGGGCCAAATGCCTCGGCTATATATATATAATGAGATGCATCCATGCATCGGGACGTATGACCTCGGTAGTGTATGTACCCAATTATTATGGATCGGGCAGTACGACCTCGGCATAAATCGTGCGTAATATCTCTAGGAGTCCGATTATACTTATATTTCCTTCATGACTTGAGAATTGACAATTACTTGATGGCTCTTATTTGTTGAAATCGCCAGGTGGTCATTGAAGATTTTAAGTTGATATTTTGTTAAAGAATCACTTATTCATTGTTTCTTATTTCATTGTTACTGTTGTATTTCATATCTATTTACCATTCTTTCATTTTATTTATTGACCTCTAGTAAGTGTCGATGTCGATCTCTCGTCACTACTTCTTCGAGGTTAGACTAGATACTTACTAGGTACACGTTGTTTACATATTCATGTTACATTTCTACACAAATTGTGCAGGAAGTGAGGCAGGTACATCTGGTGTCCGTTTAGGCATTCCCCCACATTACCTGGAGACCTAGTGGTGAGTTGCTTCCCTATGCTCCGTTCAGCAGCACCCACAGTCTCCTTCCTGTTGCTTTTTATATTTCTTTCTATTTCATTTAAGACAGTAGTTGTAGTGATTTGTATATTCTTCTAGATTGCCCATGCACTTATAACACCAGGTTTTGGAAATTTCTAGTAGATATTTATGGGTTTTGCCTATTAGTATCATCATCTCACTCTTATGTTTTATTTCATGCTTTATATCACTGTGGCCTTTTATACTTGGTCTCTTCATTAAATAAAATTCATGACTTTAAAAGTAATAAAATGAATAATTAAATGGATAGTTCATCGTTGATTTGCCTAATGGCGAGGTCTCCATCATAGCCTATAGCGGGAATTGGGTCGTGACAGGTTGATATCAGAGTACTAGGTTAACATAGGTCTCACGAGTCATGAGAAGGCATAGTAGAGTCTTGTGGATCGATGAAGAGATGTCCGTTCTTATCTTCGAGAGTCTATAGGGTGTTAGAAAACTTTTCTTTCTTTATCTCCTATCGTGTAATTTTTGTTGTGTAAGTATCTTTCTCTATTCTCTCACAGATGGTGAGAACGTGCAATACGGCAATACTCGGCGGTAGAGGGGCCCCTCCCTCAGCTGTCCGAGGCAGAGGCCGAGGGAGGGTCGCAACTCCTGTTAGAGGACTAGGGAGTCCTAGAGTTGCTCCCGTTTTATCACAAGTGGATCCAGTAGAGGAGTCCTAGATTGTCTATCTTTTTTCTGTTTATCGACCTACTCTAGCGTGGTCCTACTTCAGTGCCATTCAAGAGAGTACCTACCGTCCACCATCCATTAAGGGTTCCTCTTGTGGATATTTGGGTCACAAGGGCCAGACTCAAGGTCAGTAGTATACCGCACCGAAAGGTTGCTACGAGTGTGTGGGAGCTTGGGCATATGAGGAGGTTTAGCCCCAGACTTTGAGGCAAGGCAGTACAGTAGGGCCATCAGCCCATGATTACCACACGAGCTGTCGCATTACCCGTCCGGTCGGCCAGACGCAGAGGGCAGGTGGGTAGGGGTCACCCTATATATGGAGGCCAGCCAGGTGGCGCTCCAGCTAGTTTCTATGCCTTTCCATCTAGACCAGATGTTGTAGACTCAAACGACGTGATCACAGGTATTATTTATCTTATTAAACTATTAGTAAGTGTCAGTGTCGACCTCTCGTCATTCTTCTTCGAGGCAAGACTTGATACTTACTAAGTACCGTAGTTTTATACTCATAGTACACTTCTGCACACTTTTGTGCAGATTCTGTGGCCGGTACCAGTCATTCTTGTCCTGCTACATAGAGACTTGCTTTTGAGACTTCGTGGTGCGCTGCCTTATTATTCGATCAGATACAGATGGAGTCCCCTCCCTTGATTATCTATTTATCTTTTGTTTATTTCAGACAGATATTGCTATATTGTTAGGAACAATTCACTCTTATAGATGCTCGTTTATTGTGACACCGGGTTTTGGGCATTGCTAGACAGTTGTGGTCGTGTTTAGACACTGTCTCAAATATTTGAGTCTTTATATTAGCTTGAGATTATTTCCGATCTTTAAGTTATATCACATCTTATTAGTAAGTTAATTATTAGTTTATGTTATTTCTATTGGGTGTTGGCTAGCAAGCAAGTTAGGCGCTGTCACAAACTTTGGTGGGATTTTGGGTCGCGAAAACTACAAGAGAGTATAGCAACGAAATGGAGATGTAAGCATGAATCCACCTATCTCGTCAATCAAATTTAGTGCATGTAATAGAGGCGTCAAGTAGCATGTATAGAATATATGCACAGATAGCATGTAGAATGCATGATATGACATAAAGGATTCACTTAGATAAATAAAGCTTCCACATTTACACCCTACACATCATCAGACACTATCACAGTCCGACACTCATTAATATCTCACAACTCTACGAGTACACCGCCAAGAGAGAATCATCGGAGGGTGACCCTAGGGGGGATGGATCTGTATCCACACACTATACAACATAAACATTGTGATATAACATCAATTTATATCACAATAACCAAAGGGCATATACCTCGTGCCATAATAACATTGATCCGCTTATAATGTTCATACATGACATAGTCATAACAATCCGAATCAAGTTCTGCATGTGCTCACGAAATAGTCATACGATCAAATAAAATATTAGACAAGAATAACACACAACAAAACAAGGCATAGAAAAGCCTAAACTCTACCCCGAACATGAATAAACCATGACACCTGCATATACGCTCGTCACATCGTATATATATTTCTCCCATAATTAGTAAGCAAGGTAATTTTCTAAGAATTTTTGCTCAGACTGAGATTAGGTAAGATACTTACCTTTTTTCCAACAAGCTTTAGCCTCTAATCATGCCTTTTCCTCTATCCGTGACCTCCTAATACTATAAATCATCCAAAAAATACTTAACGAGGTCAAATAATGTCTTAGAAACCAATTACAAACAATAAAGCTTTAGTCTTTAATTAAATCTCAAAAGTCAACAAAATATTAACCCGATCCATATGGTCAAAACCCGAATCTAAGGTTAGATCCCGTTGACCTATAACCCCATGATTCTAAATATGTGATTAGTGTTCAAATCTGAGTCCAATCAATAATCAAAACCTCAAAATGTACTCTCTGAAGTTATAGACAAAACCCCCAAATTTCATTCTTTGATTCCATATTTTAGGTGTAGAAATTCATAGAGAATCAAGATGTATAATCAAATCCAAGTAAGAGTTACTTACCCTCAAGCTTGGGGTGAAAATCTCCTCAAAATGTTCCTCCTCTCGAAGTCTATGTCTCAAAAATGGTGAAAATGGGCAAAATCCAGACTTGGAGAAATAATATGAGTCTGATATGCGACAACCACAGGTGTGGACAACAGCACTGCAGGTGCGACCACCACAGCACTGCTGTTGTGACCTTGCCAGTCCTAGCCCTCTATTGCAGATGCAAAACTTCCGCATTTTAGGCCTCAGCACTGCTTGTGCAGCTGCACCAACCATTGAAACATTCCAACTTAGCTCAAAATGATCAGAACCCACCCCGAATCTCACCTGAGCCACCTAGGGACCCTTTCTAATCATCCCAACCAGTCCATATACCCTATAAAAAATTGTTCAAAGGCTCAAAATACTAAAAATAATACAAAACCAAGAATCAAGCATCAAACCCAAAATCTCGAACTTTTTTAAATTCAAAATTCAAACTTTTGAATAAAATCACTGAATTAACCCCAGGCCACCCGAGACCCAAAACTAACATACATAAAAGCCCAAAAATAATCATACGAACCTATTTGAACCTTAAAATCACCAATTGCTCGGAGGAACGAGGGTAACTGCAGCCAGGGCCGATTGTACACGAGGGGGGGAGAAATGGTCTCTACATTATGGCAGATTCATTAGTGCCCCGTCTGGGGGCAGAGGTCAGTTAATGATGGGGCAATCCAGCAGGCCCACGTAGTCAGTACCACCGCCTGCTCGGAGTGCTCCAGCGCGTCCCTACTTCAGCGCCATTCCAGAGAGTACCCGTCGTCCACTGGCCATTCAGGGTTCCTCTAGTAGGTATTAAGGTCACCAGGGCCAGACTCAGGGTTAGTAGTATACCGCATCGAGAGGTTGCTACAGGTGCGAGGAGCTTGGTCATATGAGAAGGTTTTGCCCCAGACTTCAAGGCAAGGAAGTACAACAGGTCAATCAGCCCATAATCACCACACCAGCTACTGTACCGCCCGTCCGGCCGGACAGATGTAGAGGGCAATTGGGTAGGGGTCACCCTAGAGGTGGAAGCAAGCCAGGTGGCGCTCTGGCTAGTTTCTATGCCTTTCCATCCTGACCAAATGCAGTAGCCTCAAACGCCGTGATCATAAGAATTATTTCTATCTACAGTTGGGATGTTTTGATACTATTTGATCCAAGGTCTACATATTCATATCTGTCTTCTCTATTTGCTCCTTATCTGGATGTCTCTCGTGAGTCCCTATGTGTTCCTGTATATGTATCCATGCCAATGGATGATTCTGTTGTTATGGATCGGGTTTACTGGTCTTGTGTTATGACTTTCTATGGTTATGAGACCAGATCGGGTATTCCGTTGCTTGATATGACCGACTTTGAGGTCATCCTAGGCATGGACTAGTTGTCTCTGTACAATGTCGTTCTTGATTGGCAAGCCAAGACTGTTACATTGGTAATGCCCGAGTTGCCTAGATTGGAGTAGAGGGGCTCATCTATTAGTACATCTAGTCGGGTTATCACATTATTAAAGGTTCAACATATGGTCGAGAAAGGTTGCTTGGCCTATCTGGCTTATGTTTGGGATACTGCTGTGGAGACTCCCACGATTGATTCAGTGCCCGTGGTGCGGGTGTTCTCCGATGTATTTCCTTTTGATCTACCAAGCATGCCACCAGATCATGATATAGATTTTAGTATTGATTTGGCGCTAGGAACCTAGCCTATCACTATTCCACCGTATCGCCTGGCTCCAAATTAGTTGAAGGAACAGCTAGCGGAGTTGCTCGAGAAAGGGTTCATCAGGCCGAGTGTGTCGCCTTGGGGTGCATCGATATTGTTTGTGAAGAAGAAGGATGTGAGTATGCGGATGTGCATTAATTACCGCCAGCTGAAAAAAGTCACTATCAAGAACAGGTACCTGTTGCAGCGCATTGATGATTTGTTTGATCAGTTACAGGGTGCTAGAGTGTTCTCTAACATCGATTTGAGATATGGGTATCATCAGCTGAGGATTCGTGCTTCGGATGATCCGAAGATGGCTTTCCGGACTAGGTATGGGCACTATGAGGTTCTAGTGATGTCCTTCGGCTTGACTAACGCACTGGGGGCATTTTTGGATTTGATGAATCATGTGTTCAGGCCATATATTGACGCATTTGTCAATGTATTCATTGATGACATATTGATCTACTCGCGTAGTATGGAGGAGCACGAGCAGCACTTAAGGGTTGTGCTTCAGACTTTGCGGGAACAAAAGTTATATGCTAAGTTCTCCAAGTGCAAGTTCTTGTTAGATTCTGTGGCTTTCTCGGGGCATGTTGTATCAGGTGAGGGTATTAAGGTAGACCCCAAGAAGATCGAGGCAGTTCAAAGTTCGCCTCATCCTACCACAACAACCGAGATCAGGAGTTTCTTAGGGCTAGCA